ATGGGCGATCGATAGATGCATTGGGAGCATCGGGGAAGGCATCTGGTGGGGCATCTGAGAGGGTATTTGGGAGGTCATCTGGGAATGCACGGGGGGCGGCATCTGGGAATGCACGGGGGGCGGCATCTGGGAGTGCACGGGGGGTGGCATCTGGGAGTGCACAGGAGGGGGGATCTGGGGGTGCATTGGGGGCGGTAACTGGGAGTGAACGGGAGGTTGCATCTGGGGGTGCATTGGAGGAGCTATCTGAGGTTGCATCTGATGTGGCATCTGAGATTGGATTTGGGGGGACATCTGAGGTTGCATCCCTGGATGTAAGAACATTCCCGGCTGCGGTATAATGTTTAGGCCTGGAGACTGCTGCGGTACCGTGCCTGGCTGAGTTCCTCTGAAAAAAAGCGTGCTGACCGGCAATGGTAAAATTTGAAGTGGTGGAGGAGGGGGTGGTGGCATCATACCGGGTTGTGGGACATACGATGGGGGCTTTTTCTTACTGACAATATCCTTTGGTGGCATTATCGGGGTCGCAGGGAGTTCTTTGGGCTTGTACGTGGGAGTATTAGAGGGCACCTTTTCCCCGGAATCTGCGGTTCTATGTGGCATGAATGACTTTGCGTACGCGTTAAGCCCCTTGAAATTGTCCTTAGATGCCTCAGCATCAGATGGAAGAATTATTTCTGTAGAAGCTAACTCAGAAGCCTCTAAAGGGGCCGGTGGTTGTGGGTGGGATTCAACTGTTTGAGGATATACCATCAAAACACGTTCAGTACTTCTTTGTAGCGACTATAAATATATATACGAACACTTTCGGGCCGATTTTCTTTGATCACACCTTCCGTTCGTCAAGATTCAATTTTATTTTAAAGCAAGAAAGGTTAACAAACTACGATAATCACCGAAGTTATGACTATGGCTATGACTTTATTCCTTTGTCACCAAATCCCTGTGCGTGCAAGGCGTTAAGGTAAAGCAGAACCCTGTAGGTTTTCTTTGAGTTTGCACGTTGACTCAATTTTAAGTTTTATCAGATATGGGAGTAAACGTCGTTATAACAACTCAACACGTTTACCTTTGTCTTCCTAGGATTCCTTTAAAATATTGCTGTTCACCTTTCGTGAATTATAGTGTGTTCAAATTGACTACTCACAAACTGGTAAAAAAGACTAAAAGGAAGAGTATTGACGAAAAATTAAAGTTGTTTTTCATTTTATAGAACATGAGGAAGGGATAGTTTAAACGAAACCAATCGAAAAAGTAAGATGCCGATTGCATAATAAAAAAGTGTGTGCGTGTATCGAAGGTTAAATAAGGACCATCCTTTAAATATTAATTATGGTTTGCTTTATATTACTCATATATAAATACACAAGGGAGTGTGCTCTTAGTATTCCTATAGATACATGTGGCCCCACCTGACGCATAAGAAAAAATGGATAGCGTCGGTATCGTTTCGACATATTTAACACCTGCCTTAAGTATTTTTATTTTTCCTTGAAATATTTTATAGATTTCAAATTCATTGACAAACGCAAATAGAATCGATCATAATTTGTACTAATGTCAAAAAGCGTTAAACTAAAATTATTGTCCCTAGAAACCGAAAAAAACCCTCAAGATGCATAGGTCCATAAAGCAATGACTCTGATTCGATTGTAGTGAATAGTAGAGTTTAAAAAATAGAGGTGATTGAAATCTAGATGATATAGGGACATTTAGATATGAGGATTGAGAGGAGCGTTTGGAATATAAAGCTTCAGTTCTCTCCTCTCCAGTTTTTCAATATTCACGTAGTGCATTAAGATAGATAACAGTCATTGAATAATAAATAAGCCCTAAGTAACGTTAAGTAAGTGCAATTTTTATTGTAGAAACCAATTTTAAAAAATCTACAGATAGGGCTACTCCTTTTTTTGAAGTTTGGAGGCGCAGAGCTGAGAGCTTGAAAGCACCTTGACTCCAGCAGCACGCATTTCCTGCATTGCGTTACATATAGACTCATCTGAGATGCCCATGCAAAGGTCTTCCAGCAAAAGTACCTCGAAGTTGCAGGCGACGGCGCTTTTTACGGTTTCGAACACGCAGTAGTCAAGCGCGATTCCACACACCACCACGCGCTGCACTCCCAGTGATCGCAGAAGTCCCTCCAACCCCGACGCGTTCCCGCTGGTGTCGACGAAGGCCGAGTAACTTTCGAACTCCGCCCGCGTGCCCTTCCGAAAGACGACCTGCAGGTAGGCCTCGTTGAGGTCGGGATGCAGCGCGGCGCCGGGGGTCCCTCGAACGCAGTGCACCGGCCACAGGCCCCCGTTTGTCTTGAATGAGGAGTGGTTCTCGGGATGCCAGTCCATTGTCGCCACGCTAATACGGAAGTGGTGTTGCAAAAATAACTGGTTAATCTTTGGAATGAGTGTTTCGCTGTGGGGTACGTATAATGAGCCGGTCGATTGAGCAAAGTCATTTTGAAAATCGACAACAATTAGCGCGTCGGTCTTCGGATCGATAGTTTCCATCGTGAGTAATTCCTTGGCAAAGCTTCTTAGTTGTGATTGGTATTTATTTACCAATTGTTGTCGTTGATTTAAAATTTGTCAAGCTAATAAGCAGTTTGAATAAATCAAAGAAGAGTTATTCCTTTTCTTCAAAAGACAGTATTCAATTTCAAACGGGCTCTTATTATTAATAAGGCCATTCAAATACTATGTTCGCTGAGTATTTTTTCTTTTCTTTTGCATGGAAAAAAAATGTCTGATGCAAAAGATGCCCCAGAAGTAGAATTCACATGCAACATGAGTAATGAAGATGAGGTTACTACCTCCTCAGTTACTGCGCTCGAAATTCTTTATTGACTCAGCTCGCGCAAAAACTAACTTAGGTCATCATTTAATTCGGACCCTATCAGCGTGTCCTTCTCCTCACCTATTTTCATTCGTGGTCTGTATACACCGTTATTGACTCCATCGCGCGCTGCGTTATCACTGCGGCGAAGGAGAGATCGTTAGCACCCACCCCACACTCCGCCAGCCGTTTGTAAATCGGAATGCAACGCAGAGGGATTTGCTGGAGTGCAATTCGCCGCTCCTCAACGCTGGGGGCCGCCACGGCATCAATGCCATGGTGGCTTGTTTCCCGATGCCCCGCAGCTGAGGTACCCCTTTGCTGGGAAGGCGTGCCGTCCGCGTCGCTCGCAGCGGAAAGTCTCACGGTCTGAGAAGAACCACTTCCGCAGGCGTTTTCTACTACACAATTAGCCTCAGTCAGCCTCGCCATGCTGCTACTCGAACGACAAATGCAGGGGTCTTCAGGAGATTTCTCCACCATGGTGGTGACCCCCTTGGACTCTTTGTTTTTCTCCATGGGAGTGTTGGGCATACTTTTGTTGCTTGAGAACTGGGATCGAGAGCGTTTAAGTAATGAAGACCTTTGTGAGGCGTTCTTGGATTCCTGCGTGCAGCTGATGGGTGTTTGGGATTGAGTTTCTTTGTTCTGAGAGGATACACTCTTATTCATTGATTTGGCTGCTTTACCCTTTGACATTTCGAGTTCCAGATATGGTTTCGACTAAATATACAATAGAAAAATGAAGTAAGACGTTTCAAATGCAAGGATCAAATTTGTAATGGTAAAGTCTCTTTAAGAAAATAAGTGTCAGTTTCTTTTTTTCCTTTTAAAAGGATTTCTTTACCCAAATGTTGACTACCCTAACAACGACAATGGTAAAAGGAAAAATCGATTCCACCCAAAAGGATTAAGAGATGGAATAGCAGATAAGTGAGAAGAAAAATAAAAGATACATGTCCCCTCCTTCTCTTCCCTGGGCTACTCCCGTGCTTTGTTTTCATTTCTAGTGTTTTAAGCGAAGGAGGTTTTTAACAACCTTCAATCAACATTTAACCGAAATCATTTTTCAAGGTGTAGATACTATATGAAACAATAAGAAACAGCCTTATTATGATAGCAACCCCAATCCTGTTGTCAGAATATTGGTTCAATGGCATTCCGAAACAAAGTAAATATATTGATATGAAATCCAAACATATCACATTACTTCCCTGTCAAGTTATCCAGTAAATCAGAAATTTCATCTTGGAGTTCTCGGGCGCGTTGCTGTTTCTCAATTCGAGATCTTTCGCCATGAATCTCAGCCTGATGTTTGCGTTCTTCCAGTCTTTCAATGCGACTCACCAAACCGCTGTTCCGGTGAATAAGAAGCATCATCTGCTCGCAAAGATCTTCATGTGCCACTCGTTTTCGTTTTATTATGTTTTTTAGTGTCATCAGGGTGGTAATGAAAAGCTGACGCGCTTCCTCAACGTAGAGACTCACTATCCTTACACGATCCTCGTGTTCAGCCTCAACACACGCTTTGACAGAACTGGCGTGGTCCAATGCATTAGCATGACCCCCTCCTGCATTTCTTGACGACGAATCAGTCGTTTTACTTTCTGCCGTAACACAGGCTTCTTTATAATAGCTGGTGTCAACAGCTCTTAAACATGGGGTTAGTTTCGCGTCAGTTGTGCTTTTATCAGCACTACCGATGCTTTTTCTCGAAGTTAGGGATTCATACCAGAGTCGCTGCTCCTCTAACAGATTGCGTAAAACATCGACGTAAAATTGTTGCACCGCCTCTTCTTTGCTTTCTGTGAGGGCAGCTTTGAGGTCTTGATCTTTTTCATCTACCCATCGAGGGCTCGTGACCCAGCTTTCAGGTAAGCTGACGTCCTCCTCTGTCTCTCTGGTTTCACCTTTCTCCACCACTCGGCCGCAATCCCTGGATGGGCTTGACGCCTCTTTTTTTTCGTCATGCTCACCAAGAAGAAAGGAGACTTCTTGGGAAAGAAACATCCGTGAGCGGTGGCTCCAAACCCGGTTTGTGCTACTTTGCCACGTACAGGAGTGCCCCGTGAGGTTGTAGTGGAACTGTTGGTGGTTGAACCGCCCCCGCCCACAGCCCACGTGCCCACAGATCAGACAGACCCACAGATCCTCGTACGTGCGGCACTGCTCACAGCGCGCGTTGTTGAGAAGGTCGTAGAGGGAAAAGCGGCAGAGCGGGCACTCCGTGAAGGCGGACGGGACACAGGCGTAACAGGCCACATGAAAGGTGTGGTTGCAGAGCGTAATCACGCGAGACCGCCTGGACGAGAGCTCCTCTTGGCAGATCGCGCAGATCTCGTTCGCGCTGCACCATGCCGAGACATTCACGGGGGTGGCGACCGCGGGGCTCATCAAGGGGGTGCCCCGACAGTTCGCACTGCTGAGGCTTGGCAGCGACCGGGCGGTGGCGAGTGGCCGCGAGTCGGTCGAGATTGGAATAATATCCGGCCCAGAAAAGTTGGTGTGAATGATCTCGTTCAACGATGCTACGTAGCTTAGTGGTCCATTCGGCTGCTTACTGGGCGACGGATCCTCATTGCTATCGACAACCCGTTGGTTCACCTCAGAACCCTGGGCACTTCTCGTGGATTTTGGATTCTTGTAGGATTTATCCACCAAAAGTCCCACTACGGTACCGACAACACACTCTACTGGCGTAGTAGCACCTAGTGCAGCGTCTTTCTCCAGCACCATCTTCAAGAGATTGGCTTCGGTGGCGTTCCCGCACTGCAAAATTATGCAGTAAGCGTGAATCTCGCTCAGGACATATCCTACCCGCGCCACATGAATCCACTCACCACTTTCTACTGCTCCCATTGTTGCACTTTCTTCAGAGTTCTCTATTTTTTCTTTGGCCTGGCGTTCTGCAGCTAGGATGCGGTCGAGCACCGTGGAAAGACTTGCACTCACGGGAATATTGTGAAGTAAGAGCCATTCAGTGGTGTGGTGTATGCTATGAGAGATAGGGGGGAGCAAATGTAATTCCAAGGAAACGGAGGCATCACGATTAAAGGCAATAATAGTGGTGTGATCAATGCCTGTGGCTATGGTTGTCTGAAGCCTGCCAGAACTAGCGATATGACTCATGAAAGTTGAATAAAAATGATATTAGGTAACCCCAAAATGTGAACCACCCTTTGATATTTCTAGCTATCACTATAATATACCCAATAAATTAGTTTTGTGTTTGAGAAGTGATACCGTTAAGTTGTCAAAACGTTGTATATTATAAAAGAAAACGACATTCATCGAGTTTTTTACACTCAATAGCAGTCGAATAAGGGTATATGAGTATATATATGACTACAGTTGATGATCTTCTTCCTTTACGCAGTGTAAGCTATATGAACCACCCAAAAATATATGTGTATATATAAAGGACAGATAAACTCGGTTAAAGGCGGAAAGAGAGGAAAGATGAGAGTAAAGATTAGTAACAATGGTATATCAACGCATCCATGTACATTTTTCAAAGAAAAATCGCCTGTGATCGATATCGAACTTTATAATATAAAACAAGACGTGATAAAAATTAGGAAAGGTAAAACTGGTCCCCCAATGTTTGAATCCTGTTAAAGAAATATTCGCTTACCGGGAGGACACTTGCTGGAGCTTCGGGTTCCACATGAAACCAAACGACACCGGGCAGTGCGTGAGCTGCTTATAGATGTTGCCGAGGACATGGAGGCGAGGTTCGATCCTCTTGCGCTCGCGGGCATCCAAAAAGACCTTCATGATCTTGTTGCCATCCTCATGGTAGCGCCAGCGGCGGCCGACCACGTCGCAGGGGTAGATGAGATCGTTCAGAATGTTCTCAAACACCGCGGTCCTAGTACAGGAGCGCTGCACCTTCTGCAGCTTGTACGTGTCCGTCGGGCGCTTCGTGATCTTACGCTGGGCGACCAACACGATGTAGAAGCCGGGGTGGCGTTTCTCTAGCTCGGTCGTCAGGGAGCGATGAATCTTGCGCACCAGCATGAGGAAGCGCAGCGGGTAGAAGACAATCATCGCGTTCCGCCTGTAGCGCTGGTTCTCGAGCACACGCACGCCATTGATGTGGAAGAGGGGAAGGTGCTGCTTTAGTGTGCTGTGTGTGGTCTCCAAATCGAAAAGGTTTTTCGCAACGCTCTCCTCGATCTCGCTGGGCTTGGAGCGCTTGAGCTTACGAAGCTTTCGGAGGTAAGGGGCCATGTTTACCTAGGTTAGAGAGCTGAGAATAGGGGCAATAAACGAAAAATGGAGAAATGAAAATAACATATTTATTTGTCTAACACTTTCAGCATAATTAATTCATATATTTTTATCAGAAGAAAAGGGGAGCCCTTAAGGTATTCAAAGGAATATTTCAAAGATAAAAGTGATGTAGCAGAGAAAAAAGATAAATAATGAGATCAACCGAAAATAGATAACAGAGCTAATAGAAATTTAAAAAATCCGATGATTGCTTCAGTTGTCATCTGTAAGCATTATATCGTTCTTCTGGCAATATATGGCTCTTGTAAATGGGTCTATGTAAGGCAAACCCACTAACTGAAAAATGTCTCTTTCGCTCTGAATTAATAGTCGTTTTCTATTCATGCTGGAAATGCTGTTCAACGTAGGACTAGTATCGAAATCCTTAGGATCGTGCTGATTGCTCTCTCTCTCGCTTTCCCGGGGAGAGTAGTATAGGAAGAGACCATTCAGGTTCAACTCCAGGCCCCTTTTCAGGGCACTAAGCGTGACATGAGTGGTAAACGCCGCAGGACCAGTTCGAAAGAACCTCCGAACATGCATCGCATCCCATGGCATGATGTCAAGCTCTACTTGGTGAAGCTTCATACGCTCACGCATCGCTGGATCCCGAACATGAAGGGGGGGAATCTCCGTCGGGTGAAATGGATCGAAGCGCACTGAGAAGATCTTCGTGCAGCGGCGCTTCTCATGCCAGTGCTGCTCCGTCGGCATGCGACCGGCGGCAACGTAGCCGCTGCGGAACAGCTCCTGAATAGCGCGAGTGTAGCGAAATTTTACCCTGGAAGGCACCACATCCGTGGAAGATGCAGCCTCGCTACTCGAGCACCACAGAAATGGAAGCTGACGGAGCAGCTCTTGGGCGGCATGATCCAAAAGGGGGCTATCGCCGCTATTACCCCCAACTGGCGCTATCCTCGGAGAAGGCTCAGAGGGAAGGATGAAGGAGTTGTGTTTAACTCGCTCCTCACCATCATTACTCCGGGGGCTCATCTGAGTGGATGTATGTTCCTCATCTTCCTGCGTATCAATTTGCTGCAACTCGATTTCACGAGCAGCAGCCTCCGTCAAGGAGAGGCTGAACTCTGCAACTCTGCCGATAGGTGCCCCTCGCCGCGTCGCGCCATTCAGCTGGACCACTAACCCGTACGGCTCGAGTAACCTCTGTATAAGGGCCGCATGGTGACAGGCCTCATCATAGCTCACATCGTCGTGTAGGTAGTTCGGCAGGCTGGGGAGTGGGGCGTAGGGGCCATAGAGAGCCACATGGTAGGCTGGCGCCGCGAGGGGTCTTTGCTCCCCCTCTCCCATCGCATGCAGCCGACGGAGGAGGAGGACCTGTGCGGGAGGGTCCAGGCGGAGCCGATGGGGGCCATAACTCAGAAGCTCCTCAACAGCCCAGGATAGGGTGGCGACGCGGCGGGCCGCCCTAAAGAGGGCGTCGCCGCCCCGGGCCCCCGACAGGGCGAGGGAGGGGTCGCCATCGGTCGATGTGAGCGCCGCCGCAAGGGCGAGCTCCTGGACATAGAGATGGTTCGCCAAGTGACGCGCACAGGGAAACTTCATGGATGGGGAAACACAAGTACCCTCTTCAAGAAGAAAAGGAAAAGGAGAAGTTGAAAATGGATCAAACAAGAAGACTCTCCAATGTCACTGCGTGTAACAACACGCAAGGGTTGTTGTAGTGGCTGCTTCACATAACGTTTTGTTTCCTTTGTCTTTTTTTTTGATTGCACCATCATCATCATCATCATTGAGACGGTTACTTTATCAACATGTTTGAAATTTTAACAAAAAAAATTAGCAATATGGAGGGGCTATATTGTCAATGCGGCCCACGATAGGGTGAAAAAAAAAGAGAAAGCGGATCCCGCGTTCCCTCTACACGGGGTGTGACTCTTTGATAAATACATGTACATAGAACTAAAATCAACTGTTGTGACAGGAAATCAATTCCATTCAGTTGACCTAATCAGCGGCGTATGTTATTGGAGGAGCAGCTTGCACTACAGATGTTTCCTCAGGAACTTCCTCGTGAGATCGGTTCTTATCGGTCTTATACTTTCTCAAAGTTGTGACTAACTTGTTAACTCGCGGCGGCCCATCCAAGATCTCCATTATTTTGCGGCTTTGATCTACCCCAGAAGCAGTGTCAATGTGGCGGGAAGACCTTGAAATGGGCAAAGTACCATTCGGCATATCTATGTCCACTGCATTCGCCATCTCCTGCACCTCAAGCCGACTCTTTTGCACCTCCACCATCTCGGGTCGAACCTCGAGCAGATTTCCTACCGCCCAGTCCTTTTCAGTCGCCAAAAGGTAATGCGATTGCCAAGAACCTACCTTTGATTTGTCCTCCAGCGCGCGGCAGCGTGCATCGTAAATATGAGCCATATCACCCACACATCGCGCCCATGACTGCACATTATCCACTGCATAGCGCACTACACGACATCGACTGTAAAAGGCATCGCTTTGTTGACGTCCAATTTCTTGACGACATATGGACAAGAGATCCTCTTGCACAGCTTCCGCGGTATCGAGGATCTCTTGGAATTCTTTGCGTGTTTGCTTAGGATCCGGGACCATTTCGTGTCGCGTGGTCACCGCCTCCCAAAGCTGCTTATGGCTAGTCCGGAGCTGGGCTAGTGAGAGCTGATCCTGCAGTAATTCCTGAGAGAGACGCGAGTATTTAGATTGTTCGACGTACAGCTCTTTAATCGCCTCCCGCACACGGCGGGCCATCTTTTCCTGGGCCGCCTCCGACTTGGACAAGCTAAAAGACTTCGCTCGAATGGACTCCTCGAGCACAGCGAGGTTCTTGTCAAACTCGTTGGTTATTGTCTCGACAAGGGTTAGCATTTGCAATCCCGATCGCTCGATAGCCTCCACGCAGGAGGCCGCATCCGCGTGCATCTGCTGCATGTTTTCCCTGACGAAAGTCGCAGTGCGGTCCAGGCGAGTCGTCAAAGTTTCCATGTGCTCGTTGGTCGCCGCCGTCAGCTTTGTGTAGTCCTCCTTTATCGACTGATGCCCTTCCTTGTGGGCCTCCAGCTCCTGAAAGAGCAGATCCCACAACCGCCCGGCGGTGGCGGAGCGTTCGGTCTCGTCGAGAGCCTCCACCTCGGTAAGATCGACGGTCTGGAGGAAGTCCTCCAGGCGGTCCACGGCGGCCCCCACGGCCCCTGTGGTTTCTATGGCCCCCGTGGTTTCTATAGTTCCTGCAGTCCCCGTGGTTTC